GAGTCTGACTCGACTGAACGTGTGATGCATTCACTCCGTTGACAGGCAGTGGTGCTGATGAGTGAGTCAATTGATTATCGCTCGTAATCTCGACGCAAGACTTTTTCGTGTTATTAATCATATTAGTAGTGTTTTTAAGGCTAACGGCGCTATTGGCACAGAGACTACTCATGTTGGCGATGGACTGGTAGTCGATGCGAATGTAGTGATCGGTCGACGAACACACATAACTCATCGATTGGTGCAATTGATCCAAACACGTGACTCTTTCGCTGCCATCGATGCTGAATATGAAGCGAACGCCAGTCGGTAGACCTATCTGTTTGGCACAAATCAATACAAATTAGAAAATTAGTTAATGCTTCACTAATCAATAGTACTGTAAATAAGTCACTAATCAGTAATCAGTCATAAAATAAATAAAAAGTCTAAACAAAAATATCTGATAAGTGTCTAAAAGTTTGAGGTCTAATGAGTTTTAGGCATTTGAACAATTATTTAATGCAATTATCATCATAATTAACGTCTTATTAGATATTAATTTGAAATGTTAGGGCATTTGTGCGATAAATGCATTAAACATATAAAAATAAAAACCCAAAAGAGCTCATTGAATATGAGGTCGACTCATGTTTGAGACAAAAAACAATTAGAGATTTTCTGTATTCACAGAGCGATAACCCTTTCGGAGTTGTTTCACATTTTCTGTTGTGTTTAACAAGAATCGCGATTCGAGTGAAGAATAATACACTTCTTCTCAGATGTCTTAATGAGCAGTGAATTCAATGGACGACATTCACAGCCGTATTGTATTGTATTAACTAATGGTGGTGTCTATCGAGGGGAAAGGCATGGAGAGGGAGATGCCAGGGCTCGCATGCATTGTTAAATTATTCAATCTAACAAATACATTATACTACTCTAAGTACTACACTGTATGTATCGCGAAACCTATTCTACAAATATATTTCATTAATTATAAACTTTAATCTCAACTATAATTTGTTTTCCCATTAAACCAATCTCTTCGTTGCAAACATTTAAGAGCACTCTTAAGAGGACTTCAAAACTCATATAAGAGTTTGCATTGAAATAAAAATTTATAAAATATTTTTGTAAACTCTTCAAGAGATAAGTGTAAAAAGGCTACAAAATTGAGTGTTTTATGCGTTATACGAGAGATATTTCTAAACATAAATGCTTTAAAAGCCCTTATTTTAGATTTTGTTATTAGTGTATATAAAAAATGTAATAAAATTGTTTATTTGGATTGAAGTTTGGCTGTAATATAACAATAGAAACATTAATATTATTCAAGTAATGAATTCGTGTCGAGAATCAAGAATGTGAGACAAAAGGCAACACAAAAAAGTTGTTAACCATATATTGAGTTCATTTGTATGATTAGTGGGCAAATCGGTCGTAACCTTTCTATTTATGCTATACCTGTGTTACCATTGCATTACATATTCAAATGTGTTAAAACAAAAATATTGACTATAAAAACGAGTTTGCATTGCGTTAGAGATATTAGATTAAAGTAAATATCAAATGAGAAATGAGATCTAAACCTCAAAATATTTCATATTAAAGCGATAAATGCGTGCAACAAATAGGCACATCCACATCCACTCCAATAACATAACTATTTTTGGTATTAAACACTCAAAAAACTATACGTTTTGATAGCATCTGAAGTATGATTATTATAATTCGCAGACTATAGTCGATACCTGTTTTTCTCAATGTTTTTTACGAAACCCACACACAATCAGAAAAGCATTTAAATTGCATTTCATATCCGAATCGAGACTTTTAATGCTATTTTAATTATTTAATAATAACTGACTTTCAATACGTGACACTTATTTTCCCTCTATTTATTAGGTCTGCCAATGAATACAGAGTCCGTTCAGTGTATTAATAAAAAATATTACAACACAAGAAACCTTCAGTCATTGTATGCCATATAATAAAAAATTAGTTTTGAAATCGCTTCAGAAATAATTCAAATTTTACATTTAATATATGAATTGTATTTAATATACAAAAAATTACTAAACTCTTTGATTCGATAACGTATTCAAAGTCATAAACTAATAGTTTTTTGGGAATTAATCAAAAGCATGATATGAATGAAAATCAATGCATTTGTTACAAAATAGGACTCATAATAATAAAACGGAAAAATTAAGAAAACTGTTTTTCGAAATAAAACTTTTGCGATAAGAAGTTATTTATTGCAATCAAAACTGATTTCCTAATACTCTCTCAGGAGTGGTATGTTTGGAGGGAATGACTTATAACCGAATATTTCGTAGTTTTTGTTGGTTTTTGTGTAAAAGTAGTGAATATTTATGTCACGAATCATAAGTTCGGCGTTTATTATAACCATTTGTCTGTTGTCTGCAAACATTTCTGATAATTTTAATTCAAATATTCAAAATAACAACAGTAAAAAACAAACAAACAAAAAATTACTGCATTTTTGTATATTTACTAGAAATCTGTGCAAAAGAAAACACGATTTGCTCTCAAATTGAAAAACTTTAAATAAAAAACATTTGAATTTTAATAATTTAAAGGGGATTTAAATTTCATTATACAATAGTATAGTTGAGAGCAAATCGGTTGAAATCAATTGAAAGAAATGCCAGATTAGAGAAAATCTCAACGATTTTGAGGTCAACTTTAGGGAAGGTTTCGATTCTAACGGCAGATAAACGATAAAAAAGAAATAAATAAATACTTTTAAAAATAAATTCAATTCAAAGGCAATATATGGAGAGAAGAGTGCATTTAATATAAAAAATTTTCTTATTAGACGAGTAGTACGTTGTCAAAGGGAATACATGTATAGACTAAACACAGTGTAGTAACAAAGGTATGAGTTGTCTGTCAATTTGAAACTAACATAAGTATCTCAAGCGATAAATAAACTTTTTCAGGAAATGAGAGTTTTATTAAATATACGGTGTTTTACGATAAGAATCTCGATTCGTATGAAAAACAATAGACACTTCACATCCATACAAATGTATGGGAAATGAGGTGCGGGTGCGAGCAGTACTCGCATAGTGTCAGCAAACCTTAGGTGACAGGTAATTAATGGGACAAAAATTATAAAGTCTAATAAGTAGTTCTATTATACATTTTGAATACATTGTATATATCAGTATAAGTATTTGTAAACAAAAACTATTTGACGGGCAAATAAATATTGTTTTGAATGAACAATAAACTGCTTTATAAGTATTGGTATTATATGGGAAAACACTGTTAGTTGACGTGAATTACGAAGAATATGTCATTAATTAGAAACTAAATTGAATTATCAATAGTGGAAGTCTGAGATTAATGGCCATTGTGTTGATCATAAGATTGGGAAAACTAAACAAAATCTAAACATGTTTTTGGAGTAACCGTCTGAACGACGAGAGAATGAAATTAACTCATAAAGTGAGTGAACCGGCAGTTTGTTGCATGCATTCAAATATCTGAGATAATTAAATGAGTAATAAATTTGTGGATAATTTAAGTCTAAATAAAGAAATCATTCAAACGAATCAAATGATAAAATAGTAGTAAAACTCAGGGCTTCCGTTGCGAACGAGTCATAAGAAAAGTAACTTTCAATTAATTGACGGCAAGACATGAATATATTAAGTGTTGATAAGCAATGCCAATTCACGTAAACGTTTATATTTTTTTATTATTTAATCATTTGTTAGGTGTGTCTGGAGAGAAGGTATCGGTTTAACGATAAACTCGATTATCGTTACGTTATAACGAGTGTAATAAATGTTAAGTGATTTTTATTTTACTTTTTACTGTTAATTAATTGCTGTGTTATCGACAAGTCTTATGAGACAAACGATTGCTTTCAACGGAAGGTATGCCGTGAGAAGAGTCTCTTAGACACCACTTTAGACTCATTTAAAGTTAACGACAGACACCACTGTCTGTATGTCTGACTCTATGAGAAATTCTCTAAATATTTAATACATTTCATGCATTCATAACCAAAAAAGTAATTTAATGTTTAATTTAATAATAAAAACATTGACTCTAATACGGGAGAGCATCGGCAGACGAATCGCCAAATGTTAACATTGGAAACAGACATCAAATTATTGTTGCAATCGATTAGAAGTGTATGTTTTGAATGAAAACAAATCAATAGATTATATAATAAACGGAATAATAAAAGAGCAGATTTTTAGTATTTCACAGAACACTAGCTATTAGTTTAATGATCTACTCGTTTCGGATCGATATTTGCCGCTATTTTTCTCGCGTTTTTGTCTTCAAATCCCTATTCTTATGAAGATTTTTGATGGAGAAGTGAATCAAATGCTAAAAGCGTTGAACTATTTTTAAGCAGAGATCACAACATATAATGCAATCGATTG